TTTTGGGAGACTCTCCACATTTTGACAAGCTAACTTAATTTTTTTTCTCTTATAGGTAGGAGTAATTAATTTTTGTATATAATGTTGTTTTTGTTTGGATAGTTTTCCCCATAATTTTGATTTTTGTTTTTTTTTATATTTGGATATTTTGTTTAAATATTTTTTAGCATCAATTATAATCTCTGTGTAATTTGTTTGTTTTGTTTATGTAAATTTTAATTTACTCTGTAATAACTTATAGACTGTAATAATTTTTTGGTTTGTAATGTATATATAATAATTCTTGTATTTTCCCCATCATTGGTTCTTCGCAGTATGTCTAAATAGATAAATAAAATATATATGAAAAAACACAAAAAAATATTCACACAGCAATGTATAATAATAGATTAAGTAGTTCATTTATTCTATATTAATTATTCATTTGTTTAACGAAGGTCCTGACTTTTCTGAAATCCTTGTTTGTTTTGCAATAAAGTCGTGAAGTTTCGTTTGTCGCTTTTCTTCCCTAAGAAAATATCGGTAGCAGAAAATCGCATCCAAAACGCCTCGTTTTGTTTTTTCACTCCTTTCAAAATCCAGATCGTTTCTATGATTTGATCAATTAAAATAAGGAAATCTATAAAGAAATTTTTCTGGTTCTTCGTTCTCAGAATCGCTATTTTCCAGTTCTACATGGATTACTTGTTTTGCCAGTTTATGAAGGTCGACATCAGTAAGGCTCTCACCAGAAGCCTGTGGTAACTCTTTCATATCCTGCTCGTCTATAGATTCAAAGAAAGTACGCCTTTTTGCTACTTTTTTCTGATTGGTTCGAGTTCATAAATAATCGTATTATGTAAGAATCAATAAAATGCCACGATAATTTAAATCAGCAAAAATTTTCAGATTTTTTTCAATCTTCGAGCAGATGGCTTTATAACGAATCAGAGTTAAGTGAAGCAACGTTAAGCAGTGTCTTACTGTATTATTGTTCGAAGATATAACATGTATTAATCATTATAAATTTACAAATAGGCCTATATCTTACTAGGATTATAAAGACGAGTATTCATTATATTATTTCGATCATACTTTCGATCGTTCTGCATAAGAATCACATATAAGTGTCAATCAGCAAAGAAATATTTTATTTGAATTAAAACTTTCGACTGCAATATTAGAAAATGTGAACGTTATTTGTTCACTCAAATATAATAATAGTCTAGAAATTGATCACTCGAGAACCGTATTTTGTATACTATCCTGAGGATCAGAATTTGAGTAAACGATTAAATTGATTGAATTATGAAGATAATTACATCGATCAAAAATTTCGTGCTACTTTGGATCGTAAATTTATACTTAAACAAGGTTATTTTGTCATTTCCTTCATTTTCTCATGTGGTAAATATTATATCGTATTCTCTCCATGAGAAAGTAATATTTTCCTTTTAAAATTATTGGTAGATCAGTGTGTGACGAGAAAAACATTTTTGAAAATCATTGGGAATTCGCGATCTTTACCGAAAAACCTTGTTTTACTACGATAGTTATGGAATGAACCTGACAAAAACAAAAATTATAAAATTAATAAAGCGAAGTTCTAAAAATTGTTGCTGGACTAATATTGTTTTTCAGAGTTTATATTCGATAAATTGTGGATATTTTTGTTTTTATTTTCTATAAAAGTTAATAAAAATCAATGTTTAAAAGAATTAAGTATAACTGATAAATTTTATAACGATGAATTTGTAAAAAAATTTGTTAAAAATCTTTTCTATATAGCATGGACACATGCTATTATGTATAATCAATGCTGCAAATAAATTTTTTTTTATTATTTAAAAAATTACACTTGTCTGATATAACTTTTAGTATTTCACTCCCTAAAATATGTCTTATTATATTATAAATATAATCGATATTTAAGAAAGACTCATTAATTTTTTTTAAATGCCTTATCACATAACCGTGTTGTCTTCATTAAAAAGGTAATTTTAATAAATATAATATTAAATTTAGAATGTGTTTTAGAATAATACTAATTTTAACGCGAAACTGAATGTTAGTAAAAAAAAAAACAGGGCTCAAACCTAGAAATACCGAAGACCCCGTGTCCAAATGTTTGACCTAGATCTATTAGTAGATAGCGTAAATCTTCGAAAATTCGCCCATTTAAAATCGATTTATGGAATTGATAAAATCCCAATCTAACGCGTATATTTCTTTAACAAAAATGAAAAAAGAAAAAATAACTATCCACCCACCAAGTACAGAATCAATGTTAATGACTAAATGTTATAAGAAAGCTTTTGATGCAACGAACGAAGATTTGAGATATGTCTTTTGTATTAAGAAAAACAGAATTTAGAAGATATGCAAAATCTTATAGGGCACTTATTTTACAAAATAATGACTAGTCTGTATTTTTCGAAAAATAATGTCAAATATTTATCATATTTTAGCTAGAATTAATTTGTTGGTAAAAAAAAAAACACTTTTTAATTATAAAGAAGACGATCACACGAAGTATCAAGATGTATATTTTTCTAGTCATGTTAAGCATATTTTGTCCTTGTATGTAATTGATGAAAAATTAATGAATATATTGTATACAAATTTAATCCTTTGAGCCCAACTCCAGTTTATTTAATATTGCTTCCAGCGTTGCATGATTTGGCTACTTTGCGCCAAAAAGTTGGCTACACTTTTTTTAGTTTAGCGTAAAAAATATTATGTCTCGCATCGACTACTTTTTGGGCTACATATAATTTATAATATATACTAGCTGATGAGCCCGGCGCTGCCCCGGAAAAAAGTAACAATAGAGAAGGTTAAGATTATTACATTATAGCCAATCTTACCCGTTTTCTCAGAACGCAAGAACTAGATTGCCAAGTTTCCAGACTAATTAGAAAATTTTTAGATGGATGTAAAATTTTGTTCGATTTTTCGAAAAATGCAAAAAACAGCATCTGCGCCTGTAAATCTTGCACGTTACTTTCTCTTAACACTTCAATTGTTACTTAACAACTTCCACTGTTAACATTTTAATTGTTAACAACCTCTCCCCCCGGAGTAAATTTCGAAAAATCTTTTTTTAGTGTACGTTCTCATGACGCACCCTAACTGTGTACCAAATTTTAACCAACTCCTAACCGTTTGGGCTCTGCGCATCTTATTAATATTATTTTTCGGAGTGGCTATTTCAAAGGGCAATTTTGGCAACTAAAAATAATATTGTCGACAATATTTAGCTTTAATATTTAAAAGAAAATTCTCGGTAATATCCAAAAAAAAAAAAAAAAAAAATTCAGTACTGTCAAGAGCTCCTCCTCTTTTAAGTTTGGACATTGTATAAAATATAAATCAAATCAACTTTTTATTAACAAATACACTAAGTACACTTTACACAGTTTTCACACTTTATTTTCGATTTATGTTCAGTCACTGTATAACTTTGACTACTCACACTTTACTGTTTGTTTTTATACACTCACTGCACTACTTTGGAATTTTCACTTCTTTTTCGGTTCTTCCTTTCGTAACTAATAAGAAACTGACGTTCAAACCCACGACGGATCTTGCTTTATACACCCTTCTCCAATGGGTAGTCCCACCCATACAAAAAAGACTTCGAATGGTCCACAATGTTCCAGAACATTCCACAACATTCGATAGTGTTCTGGAACGTTCCACAATGATCTGGGATGTTCCGGGATGTTCCCGAACGATCCAGAACATCCCGGAACATTCTCGAACGTTGTGCAATGCTCTCGAATACACTCGAATTTTCTGGACTGTTCTAGAAATTTCTAGAAGGCAAAATTTCCAGCCCTTATATTTTCAACAGCATGCTCTTTAGGTAAAAACGGGAAGCGTCGTCATAAATGGGGGATAGAGGGGTACCACACCATATAATAGCCTTGATCGTACCGGGACTTATTTTTGATCTTTAGCGGCACGCACTTTTATTATATATATTGATTAGACGAAAAAAAATGCACTTTAAAATGGTATTTTGTCATTTTTTATTAACTAGTGATCCAAATAAAACAAATATTTGTATTTTCCAAATAAATTTTTGTTTGTCTCCTTTGTTTGTCTATAAATTCATTATAATAAATTCATTTATTATAATGAATTATAATATTATNATCCTCTGGTCTAACCAGGATCGTATTAGAAATTTGGTTTTTGTTGTCGATATTGCCCTATTGGGAAAAGTGGGACATAGCTACAGCACGCCATAGCCACATTCAGTCGGGGGCAGACAAAATTGATCTTACATTAACTGCAGCGAAATCGAAAATTTATGCGTGTATATATCTCTGCCCAAACGCAAAAAGTAGTTGTCGAATCACAACAATTGGAGAAAGTCGCGAGTAGGTAGTGTTATTTCGCACTATGGAAAAGCGAAAGTGGATGGGAAGTGCCTCATAATAAGGACAGCGACCGTCTTCTGGTGGATAAACAAGATTTGATCCACCTTCCATCTCTTTGAGAACGAAATTCCGTTTGTGATTTTGATAGCTATTTAAGCTAGTGAGTCCTGGAAGGCTTCATGAAACATTAATAAAAGGCTGGATATCTTCCACATTGATGCTTACAACGAATTATAATAAATAGATATTTAGATCATATCGCCAATGAAGAAATCCTCGAAAAAAATTGAGATGTGTAAACTTCATAGCATTGTAGCATCAAAAAGAGTACGACTTGCCGGCCAAATTTTTCGTATGAAAAATAATAGGATCGGTTAGCCATGAAATTGGTTCCGTTGGTGACAAGCGACCATGAGAAGACCTCGGTTATACTTCGCATGGTAGTAAGATGAAGCACTATCCCAAGATCAAAACAGATGAAATACAATTGCAGCCCACTATGCTACGTATCATTGGAAGAAGTACTACTTCTACTATCACTACTAAACACAAATATCACAACCTTTAACCTATTTACCTACAATTTTTAAAAATTAGTATGAGATAAAAATTTCCCACTTCACAACAAATTAATCAATTATTGAAAATAGCATAAACGATAGAAAGAATAACAGGAATAAAAAGCAAAGCATGAAAAGCCGTTTCCATAGCAACAAGTATTACAATTTTCGCAAATGTGCAAAGAAAATATACATCAGAATATAAAATCAATATTCCTATTCCCGTGGTCAATGATCCTTGAAGTATTGGAAAACCAATACGATACAGACAATCTTTTAATTTTTCGTTTGGTGTTTTGCATTGTGAGGTGACATAAGCATAAGAAACATGAGCAGGATAGTTTACGCTGAATCCCACACACAGAATAAGACTCATCATTGATATAATATCCAAGTTGATTCCCCAAAACGACATATAACCTAATGTTTCTACCATTGCAGATACGACAGATATTGCAACAGTAATTGCGACTAGTAAATTCGGTACAAACAGTAAAAAAACTAATGTTATTAATATGGCAGTAATCCAAAATAATTGTTGAATCATTTCTCCAATGATGATTCCTTGCTCGATAAGACCTGCAAAAATACAATGCACAAGTACAGGAGTGTCGAATTCGTCAGCAATTCTAAATAAATCTCTTAATGTATCTCTTTCTGCGTATGAAGTATTCAAATTTTTTCCCATAATAAAAAATCTACTGAATAAGATGTCAGTTTTGTTGTTATTAAAGACGATGTCATTAGACAGTGATTGAGCAGCTCGGATATTAAAGAACACATCGCGAAGTCCATCGATAAAGTCCTGCTTGTTTGACATATTGTAGCCTTGTAATGAAAATTTTGCTACAGGACTTTTCTGAAATTCTTTGTAGAATTTCAACCAAGACACAGTGAATTCTTCTCCGGCAATATTTGGATGTTTCTCGAATTTTGTCAACAGTTTTTCTATCGATTTTTGTACATTTATATCTGAGTAATCCAACGTTTCATTAATAATAATGTGAAACGGATATGAATAACGTCTAAAGTACTTTAGACCAATACTGTGCCCTTCTGTAATTATAGAGTCTTTTGCAAATAAACGTTCATACTTAATACCATGTTCCATGTGAAATGTGCCCCATATTCCAAAGGATAAGTTAATGATGTAAATTATAATAATACTTATCTTTACTATTGGATTGGAAATTATCTTTCCTAATGAATCTCTAAAATGTGCCATAGTAAATTCTTCTTCTTTGGCGTTATTATTCTGGTTATCTTCATCATTTTGTTCTAAAATGAAAAAGTTTGAAATTCATATATGAAGCAAAACATATTAAAAACTCAAAAATATTATATAAAATTTATCAAACTGTTTTTCTAAATTTTCAGTAGGTAGTAAACTAAGAGTTCACGGTTCAAACTAATATTTCTGCATATAATTAATTGAACGTAGGCCGATGACGTAGGCCGATCTTGTGTAAACTGTACAATGTAGCAGGAAACTTGTATTTTTTTCTTATTTAAATCGAAAATTTTTTTTATTTAGCAAGAAAGTATTGGAACGGAACTGAAGTTATTTTGTTATTATTTTAGTTTTGTAATAAATGAGTAGTGAGCATGCATGTGAAATATACACTTCTCTTAAAGTTTCGGCCTATTATCATCATATTGTAGTTATTTACACGTTTCTTTATGTTTGTGTGAGACAAAATAGCGAAAATTTTTGTGCAGGCATGATGTAGAGTAAATATTTTTTTACATATATTTTTAATCGTTTCAAATATAATAAAAGGAAATCTCATTAAATATAGGACAAACTGGATACTAACATTGTATAGGTATTTTTTTACTACGCGTTAACTTATTTATTTCATATCAACAAACCAAAGCGCACTCAGCAGAAAAGAATAGATAAATAAACACCTGATCACTCGCTGAGAGATTTATTTAATATCTCTATTGTTAAAATTTTATCATGTTTCCTGACATGTTAGGATTTCTATTTGACTAACATTCGTAACGGTAACGTACGAATAATTGTTAATTTGTACATTTCCATTAATGTAGTGTAATGTACAAAAGAAGGTTCAAAACTAATCTAGATATCTACATCGAGAAAAAAAAAACTTTTCAAAGTCAATGTCGATAGCAATATTAATGTAAAGAAAGAAATAAAAAATGAAACGAAAATCGACAGCAAATATATTTGTTTGTACTGTACATGTTCTGCTTCATAGAAGACTATCAAACTTTTTCTGTTTTTTCGTGTGATTTTTAAGACTGTGTGCATCTGCTCCTCATGTTGCTATTACTAGGGTACCTCACTTATAACTGAAAAAACTTTGTGTGACAAACACTGTCTACTTAAAAGTACTCATTTTATTCGGTTATTCGGTTAACTGATCGTATATGTTATTTGTTAAAATAGACAATTTTCCACCACAAACGTTTATATCAAGCAGAATCAAGGTACGATTAAATATAAATTTTATATTAAATTAATTAGAATATTTGTACTATACTGCAAAAGACCATTAAACAGTAACATTCTATAGGTACTTCTGATGCAAGAATATGAACTAACTAAACTAAACATATGTAACAAAACATTCAGGTAACAGATAATCCTATATTATAAAAATTTTTTTCGAACATCATTTCATATATTCAACATAAAATAATTTAATGTAATAAAACGTTATCTTTCTTTATAAATAAATTTCAACTTACCACATCTAACAAATTTTTTGAAATGAAGATTACGCTCTTCTTTATATCCACTCAAAGCCAAGCATCCCCCGAAAAACGTTATCTGATATACAAAATTCAAAACGACACAAGTTGCAGTATAATAACTGAATATTCGAATGAAAGGAAATGGAGCCATCATCCCGATGCAATACGAAATGAAATTAGTGAGTGAAGTCAAAGTAATAGAAACTCCTGCTTCTCCGTATGTTACTTCCATGCGTTTTTCAACTGAATGTTTGGGATTAGTGATTCTCCAACATGCTATTAATACGAAAGCATCATCTATCTCGGTAACTGAAATAGATGCAAAATTTTAATATGTCAGCATTATCGTTTAGGTGCGTTGCAGCAACATTGGTTTACTTACCAAGAACTAAGAATGGAATTGTAGCATTCCAATAAGTGAACTCAACACCCGATGCAGCCATTAATCCGAAAGACGACGATACAGCCAAACCAGCGTTGATCACACTTACTAATCCAAGAAGAAGTTTGCTTTTCACCCAGCTATTGCTCATATTGAGAAATATCGAAAGGACAATCATAACTGCGACCAAACCTCCAATTTTTGGTTTCGTTCTATCAAATTCTTTTCGAAACTCTTGCTCTATCATTGGAACAGAACTTGGAACAGCTTTGATATACGTGAAATTATATTTTTGAATTGTGTCATAAACATGAGCTGACCATTTTATAAATAATTTGTTTTTTAATTCATTTTTATCGTCAGTTGCATATACTAACAAAACGGCATTTACTTTTTCTACGTAGTTGTGATAATCTTCTGTAACACCCCCTAAATTCATAAAATAGGCTTTATAAGTGAAAGACAAGAGATCTATATCTACAGGGTATTTTAGCTTCTTTCTCTTTTGTAGTATGGAATCAATTCCAGCTTCAGAAATCACTTCGATAATAGGATTTTCAAAGCATTTTTTGTCTATACGTGTGCAGAGATCTGTATATTGTATTGTCTTTCCGTCAGTTTCTAATTGTATATTTTGTATGATTTCGTCGACCAATTTCACTTCTGAAAGTATATTTTTCTCAAACATGTTTCCTTCGTCTTTTTTCAACAGGTATATTGCCAGAGTATTTGGTAAATCAGGAGTTCTTAGCTGATCAGAAAATTGAGATGAGTTAAATGAGAATGTATTCTCTAAAAATTTTTTCACTGTAAAAAGATTTCCTGTGTCGGGAGTTATTATATCGTTAAATGTCTTACTAGTAGTTAATGTTCTGATAAATATGGAGAGTGTAATTGACAGAATTATCGGTAAAATTATAAAGTAATATGGATGCCGTCCAACCGTTTTTCCTAATTTTTTAAAAATACGGCAAAAAATTCTTCTTAAGCAATCCAATTTCATTTTGCAGCTTAAATGTGCATTAGGAGAACGATAAGAAAAGTTATCTGAAAAAAATAAAGAGAAATCTGATCAGTTATCTAAGTTTAGCGTTTATTATTTATTATTTTTGTCTGAAATTAACACACAATATTATTTCTCTAAAGTCGTTTAAAAATACCATTATAGTTAGCAATTTTTTAAGGATGAAAAGTCATATTTAGTTTTTGTAGTTACTAATATAGTATAAGTAAAATATTGAAAACGTTCTTACATCAGTGACGAGATTACAGACGTATATACTTGTGTATTTTTATAAGAAGAATGGAAATATTAACTAGTATCTTTGGCGGATTACACTTTTAGTAAAACACAGACACATACACAGCCAAACACAAAACGTAGGTACAGTATATAAAGATTATTATTTACATGCATACAGTTGTCTGAATTAAAACCTGTTTAATTAAAGCAATAACAATCTATATGTACAGTACTTCAGATGCAAGTAGGCCTGTTTAATTAGTTTTATAATATTTAAAAATCTCATTTTTTCATATGACTATTTATTATTTTAATTGTTGTATATATTTTACGAGATTGTTTTAACTATAATAAGTTAGAAATAATCAATAAATATATATTATAAAGGTAAATGTACAATGTGCGTGCTGCTAAAACTCCGTTGATCGTACCTGGACTCCCAGGTACGATCAACGGAGTTATGTGGTGTGGTAGCACTCTATTTCCCATTCATTAAGAAGGTTCCCGTTTTAACTAAAAGGGCGTGCTATTGGAGATATAAGGGCTGGAAATTTAGCTTTTTAGAAATTTCTAGAACAGTCTTGAACATTCAAGAGCATACCACATCATTCCAGAATGTCCCCGGATGTTCCCGAACGTTCCAGAACATCCCGGAACATTTCAGATCATTGTGGAACATTCCAGAAAACTCTCGAATGTTGTGGAGTGTTCTGCAACATTGTGGGCCATTCGAAGTACAGGTGGAATTACCGATTGGTGGGGGTATATAACAGTGGCTTGCCGTCATTCCAAGAGGAGGAAGCGCAGCTTCCCTTGTTTTTTCTAAAATATAAATACATATTAATTTTAATTATATGAAAATAGTTGCACAATATTTCATTATAACCGCGTTATGTATTTTATTACAAATTTCTGTACTACACGTGAAAAAAATTGCTATTGTCTATTTAAATATTAGTGTCGGAATGGAAAAGTAGTGCCCACCAGTGGCCGAGCGGTCTTTGTACCCTAAACACTGGGAGTTCGGTCTTGGGTTCGCTCCGCGATCGGACGGGCTGGCTGCTTGGAGTTTTCCGGGTTTTTTCCTTGCCGATAACGACTAAATAGGAGGCGAATTCCCTATAAAAGTCCTCCCGGAAGGCATTCTTTCCCCTCGCGTAACATCACGCCCCAGAGAAGGCATCGGGAAACCACTCTGGGTACTAACCTTCCCCAGTAACACCTTGGCGTATTATTAACTACTTACTAATCTGCGCCGGGTGTCGCCGACATCAGAAATCTGACATGGCACCAAGAAGAAGGAAGAGTAGTATTGTCAGCTTCTAAACAGCCAAATTCGAGCATGCGCTTTACAGAGCACCACCCTCACCTGGTTTACCTGGTGGAAGCCTAGGAACTTGGGTGGAAGCTATACACGTACATAAGACTTCCAATTCTATCCAGGATCGGTTCTGGGCTGTTAGCCACCTGCCCACTAGATAGTTGGCCTCCTTCGCCCAATTATGTGAATCACGAGTAGTTTTATAACTTAACCCAACCGATAAGAATTTACTGGTATGTTTTTACGATAGTTCTGTATAGTTGACAGGAGTTTTAAATAAATCCATTAAAATATTTGATATTTTTATTCCGCTTTCTGATTTTATATTACTCACTGATTTCAATGTTAAACCAGTGATATTACGAATTCGTATATCCCATCTCTAAGGAGATGTAGGAAAAAACGTGTACAATTCTTGTATAATGTTAAAAAATTAACTGTTACTTTTACAGCGTCATTTACAACTAAATTTAATGAGTGAGAGAGATGCAAGAGATACAGAAAAAGCTTTAAAATTTATTTTCCTTAAATTTACGATTTATGTATCCGTTTGTCATAAAAATTTGTCTTTCCACTTTTCCCCCAGAATACAAATATTCGAGTACAAAGTTACCGGTTTCGACTTATTTCTACTTAAGAACTAGTTAAATAATTAAGCGATTAGGGAATTAGGGACATAAATAAAACCCGACGAAAAACCCGAAATTTTACTTAAACAAAATCAATCTCTAGCCGAGTACAGTGGGGAACAGAGAGATATTTTTCCAGTTCAATGACAGTGACCGAAAAGTTGTAAATTTTGGAAATTTCCGTGGACCCTGATCCTAGAACGGATTAGTTAGAAAACAAACGACGGACAATCTATTATGTTTAGATTAACATACAGTGGTGCCTCGTATAACGTACGCCTCGAATAACGGACGCTGCGAACAACGGACTTTCTGTTTGGCCGTTACGTGAGGCGAATAATGGACTTTCTGCGAACAAGTGCGAATGATGTTTCCACTCTTTTGCCGTTGCCAATGACAATCTGCTATTTTTATAATATATTAGTATTATTACAATATATTATTAGTATATCTGAAGTACAGAGCGCCCGTTGGGTTCGGCTTGCTCCCTTGTATATATTACGTACAGTACATCACCTCAGTGCAGGGTATTTACATTTATTCGAGTGTTGTCCAAATCATGGCTTCTAAAATACAGAAAGGTGATTTCAATTGAAACAAAGCAAGAAATTATCAGAAGGAGTGTAAGTTGACAAAAACTTCCTTGTCAAATGGGGATAGGTTCAGCAGTATACCAACACTCATTATCCAAACTGAGGCCAACAGGACCAATGATTTCTATAATGACACTCTCTTCTTCAACACCTGTCGGGTGTTGAAGAAGAGAGCGAAACAGATCACCTTGGATATGTTTTTTAAGAAGTCAGCTGCCAAAAAAAGAATGGAACAAGAGGAGTTGACCCTGCAAGCCCCGGTTAAAAAACTGACTCCGATTAAAAAACAGTAAAAAGAGTTCCGCTGCAATGTGTAAAAAGTCTGTATCTGTATGAATATGTGAAAAAAGTGTTCCTTTACCAACTTCTCCCAACATCTGACTACCCGGCATAATTGGTGTCTGCTCCATTTTCATTTTTTAATGGTACAGTACGGTTATTTTACACATCGGAATGAATTATATGTTTTAACATGTAATTCTATGGTAAAATGCGTTTCGTATAACGGACTTTTCACTTAAAGGACGTGCACCTGGAACGGATTAAGTACGTTATACGAGGCTACTGTATTTAGATTTTTAGAGTTATGGCAAGAAACGTTTAAAATGTACAACAACCCTGTCGCGTCCTTTGAGGTAACTAGTAATGCGACAAAAGAGGCATTTGACATTGACCGGTATCGGCACCCCCGAGATTTGGCAGCCCGCATGCATGCACATACCTGGACCGTCTCTGATTTTATCCATTAGTCACTCGTAGGGAGCTATTTGAATAAGTGTATTGTTTTAAGTTTTAAAAAGTAAAGAATATTGTAAATTTTTATGTACGTTTCTTTACAAAGCTATATTTAATTATAATTGACTTTAAAAGTATCAATATATCAATATAATTGAACAATATTTTGTACTAGGTATATACTCTACATCTACCACACATTTTATTTCACCAAGTAAGTTTTTCTTATTTTATTTATAATTTTAGCGCTTATATCGTGGCTAGCGATTTAGAATGTAATTGTGATATTAAAAATACATTTAGAGAAATCTACGGTTTTTACTGGCTTATCGAACAAACCATATGAATGGACACTTCACCTGACCATCACTGACGCACAATTAACTGATTGCCCCTGGAAGTCGGCTTCTTACAGACACACAGCTTTCCTACTATCAAATATCACGGCACGCCACTGGTATACACAGCAAGATCCGTCGTGGGTTCGAACGTCAGTTTCTTATCAGTGACGAAGGAAAGAACCGAAAAAGAAGTGAAAATTCCAAAGCAGTGCAGTGAGCGAATAAAAACAAACAGTGATGTGTGAGTAGTCAAAGTGATACAGTGACTAAACATAAATCGAAAATAAAGTGTGAAAACTGTGTAAAGCGTACTTAGTGTATTTGCTAATAAAAAGTTGATTTGATTTATATTTTATACAATGCCCAAACTTAAAAGAGCAGGAGCTCTTGCCAGATCTGAATTTTCTTTCGAATATTACCTGGAATTTTCTTTTTAATATTAAAGTTGATATCGTCGACAATATTATTTTTAGTTGCCAAAATTTCCCTTGGAAATAGCAGAGCCCAAACAGTTAGGAGTTGAAGTTGAATGAGAATGTACACTAAGAAGGAATTTTTCTAAATTTTCTCATTGGGGAGAGGTTTATAACAGTTCCCTACAAGGGAAGTGTTAACAATGGAAGCGGTTAAGTAACAATTGAAGTGTTAAGAGAAAGCGACGTGCAGGATTTACAGGCGCAGATGTGGGTTTTTGCGTTTTTGCGGGAAATCGAACATGGTTTTAGATTTCTGTAAAAATTCTCTAATTAATCTGGAAACGGGGGACTTAATACTTGCATTCTGTGAAAACGGATAAGATTGGCAATAATGTAATTTTTATCTTAATCTTAAATGTTTTCTAATAGTGCAGGACCGTTTTGTGTGAGTAGTTGGAATGGCTTTTGTTGAAGTGTGACGCACATGTTTCAGTTGATTTTTTATTAGTAAAAGTGTACGAATAACAGAAAAAAGTAGAAATTGAAAAGTGAATAGTGTAGTGTGAAACAAACAAAAACAATGCCAAAGCGTAAGAAAGAATTTATGCGGTCTCGAATCATATCTCAAAGGTAGGGATTGTATACCGGTTTACCGATTTACCGGTTAACCGATAAATTGACAAAAAACATTCGGTAAACTTACCGGTAAATTTTTGAAATTTACCGGTAATTCGGTAAATGAAAAATTCATACTAGAAATTTTTATGTAGAAAATATTGTGTTTATAGATATTTAAAAGGGCTAAAGGGACATTGAAAAAAAAAAAAAAAACATAAGTGTAAGCAACAATATACCTAATTATTAATTTTATGTGAGATATTTTTTGTTTAATTTTAATTTAAACTTTTTTGGGTTTGAGAGGCACTGTAAATTGTACAGAAAGCTCTAGTTAGCATATGTGATTTGTGCTCTGCCGTTTTTTGAGATTTTTAAAGGTTTAAAATCTTTACAATCAACGTTTTTCTTAAAGAGTAAGTAAATATCTCTTTTTTTAATATTTA